AAAATTTTTTTTGGATTCAATATTTACTTTTCGCAGATAACCTCAGAAACATAATTTCTGAATAAAATTTTTTGAAGTCAAACTTAGGTTTTTTCAAAAAACTTCTTGATAATAATTTTTTGAAAATTTTTTTTTATAAAAAATTTTAAATTCAAAAGGGAACTTAACCTTTTATTTTTCAAGAAAAATATTTTTTCGAATTTATTTTTCCAACTTACCTTCAGGATCAGAAAGGATCCACAGTTATACATACCTGACCTAGATTTAAGAGGAATCCGGTTAGGAAACAAAAGTTTGTAGATTCACTTTAAAATTTACTGGCGCCTGACATAAATTTTTTAATTTTTTTTTAGTTTAAATTCTTATTAATTATCTCCCACTTTCCTCGATTTTTCTAAATTTTGATATTGCTCGGGCATTACTTCTTTACTTCGAACCTATCTCGGATGAGATAGACCCCAACACCTACGAACTCCACGACCCGCTCTAAATTGTATCGGCGTTTTTTGTTAAGGTCACCACTCAGCACCAACTAGAGTAAATAAAAAAAAAGAAAACGCTTAAAACGTTGACAGAACGGTTGTTTTATTGCCTCAATCCCCTCTTGACTAGGCAGGAGTCGTGGTGGGATTATGCGCGCGGTCCTCGACAAAGTGGGGCAAACGGACGGTTCGACTCGACTCGCGGTTAATTGCTCTCACCCAATTAAACTAATTAAATAAATAAATAACGGAACCCTTGCATAAAATTTGAAATCAATACCGGTTCATTACAAAATGTTTGGGGTGGAATAATTAGTACTCACGTGATAGGCCCTAATTTTTTCGAAGATCATCTTACTGGTGAAATCTATTTAAATTTTTTAGAAAATGAATTGCCGCTGCTTTTAGAAAATTTAAATTTAGCACTAAAAAATTCTTTCTGGTTTCAACATGACGGAGCCCCGCCACATTTTCACATAAATGTACAAAATTACTTAAATAATTGGAAGAGAAATCAGAGGATTGGCCGTGGTGGTCCGATTGTGTGGCCGGCCAGATCTCCTGATCTGACGCCGATGGACTACTTTTTGTGGGGATATGTTTCAGA